CAACCCACGAACGGACTCTACCAGGGAAAATCGCTAAGAAAAATAAAACCTCCGCAAAACAAGACCACGCTCGACCCGGATAACTCCAAAAAGACCCTATTAACAGTAAGTATTGAAGGAATACTATGGAGAGCATAGCGATAACCAGAGAGCTTCGGCTATATAAATGTTGTTACGCCAGCGACTCGGTAGAGTTTGGGTAGCGTTGGGCTCAAATGACCAAGTGAGAATTCATGTAGAGATTGGACATTACTAGGAAAATAGAATATGTCAAACACATGAGCAAATACAAATATATATAGGCAAGCAAGAGTTTCACAAAGATTGCGTGGCACCACAAGTAACCCAACCATGCAAAAATGTTGTGCAGGTGGGTGAACACGCCCCGCATATTTCCAACCCAACTCGGCACCGGAATTCCTCGCCGTGCACGCTAGTTCAGCCAATACAGCAAGGGAGCAGCGTGCCTCACAAGCAAGGTACCTACGACTCCCAAGAATCGTCATTCCTAGCACCAATTCCGCCGAGTTCGCTGCAGTAGCTCGCAGTCACCTGTAGTCAGTAGTGACCGCCACCGAACTCATGTGTCGGTGCCGAGCAGACTCAGACGTTAGTTGCCGACCTGCCAAGCCAAAGTTCATCGAGAGCCCTTGCAGTCATAGGGCCCTCTAACACTCCCCTGCCCTACTACAGCATGGCCCTTCATAATCACAGGGCATGCATACACACATATACACCAAAAAGGGACACACAAACGAAGCACTCTCAAAGTGCAAACACGCACCGCACCAGCCATGGCTATGCCATGGCACCATCCACATCATGGAGTGTCTAGGTCTCACTACCTTCACTCGAGAGCCTCACCTGCCCCACGGCCTTGAAGCAACGGCTGAAGGCGGGGAAATGCATCGCCTTGGTAAGGTAGTCAGCCGGCCGCTCGCTCGTAGGGATGTACTGCAGTTGCAGCTTCCTGCGCTTGACCATGTGCTGCACCCACATGTGGCGACGCTCCATATGCTTGAGACTCCCCTTGAATCCCATACCACCGGCCACTAAAATGGCAGAGGAGTTGTCCACAAAGAGAGTAGTGGGCTCCTCACGCCTTAGCCAATGAAACTTTGCCAGCTAGAAGCGCAGCCTGCGCGCCTCCTTCCCACCCTCTACTGCAGCGACATACTCAGACTCTGTGGAGGAGAGGGTGGCGCATCGAATCCTCTGGCTCGCCCAAGAGACGGCGTCACCTCCGAGCATGAAGACATAGCCACCAGTGCTAGTCCTGTTCTGCTTGTCTCTCGCATCATCAGCATCGGCGTAGCCTACCAGCTCCAAGGACTCCGGCCCACCACCAAACTCCGACGCAATATCTCTGCTCCCCACCAAGTACGCCAAGCACCGGTCCAACTCCTTCCAGTGCTGATCACTCCGCACAGTCTGGCCCAACCCGAGCTTGCTGCAGGCGAAGGCAATATCAAGACGAGTGGTACAGGCCGCAAACTGCAAGGATCCCACCTTCTGTCTGTACTCCTCCTGGCGAGACTGCCATCCCGCATCCTTGAAGGTCTGCACACTAAAAGAGTCAGAAGAAAGAGGGGTGCGAGGCACTCGCAGCGGCTGCTCCCCATCAAAGAAGTGCCTATGGACCTTGTCCACATAGGCCCCCTTGTGTAGCCACATCCTCCTCGTAGGCCTGTCCCAAATCAGCTGCAACCCCAAATACCTTTTCCGTAATTCAATATGCTGATTTAAGGTTATGATGCAAGTTCTGTATCTGCAGTTGAATGGAGCGGTGAGTCTGGTACAACCGATGTGAAGTATAGGCTGGTCTTGGCCAATGGGAGCGGTTGGTGGTGTTCAAGGAGTGAGTCTGAATTTTTGGTTTTGAGCGAGCTATTTTGGAGGTTTTGATTGGGTGCCGTTCGAAATGGCAGTTGCTCATGAGTTCGAGTGAGCGGCTGCTCGCGCTGCCACTGTTCGAGGAGCGAGATTTGTCCTTGCTCATGCAGCGTGTTCGTTAGCGTGTTCGTGAGCGTGTTCATTAGCGTGTTAATTAGCGTGTTCATTAGCGTGCTCAGTAGCGCGAGCGTCATATGCTCACGAATCGTTTTTCAGCGCAGGTCGGTAGATTACTAAGATCTCGAGTAAGTTCGGTTCCTCACGTTTTTTAGCAGCACTGACAGTTCGGATCAAATGTAAGTTCCGGAACGAGGGCACGTGGCGAGAAGCAGTTGAGCGGTCAAATGCAATGCTGATCGACATTGACATTTTGACTCGTTTAAGTTATGAACGGACTTCATCGCAACCGTTTGAGATTGGCGCGAAGTGAAATTATCGGATCGGGTCCATCAACAATGTTCGCGCGAGAAAGGCGAAATATTTCGGCGACGCATCGAGTGCGCGCCAGGTCACAAAGGGAATGGGAGGGAACCTGAAAATCTGCTCGCGCTACGAGGTGTGAATTTGAAACACCTAGATCAAGGAAGGAATGGAATGATTTAGCATAGTATAAATTGGTTGTTCTTATTGTTCCAACATATAACTTGAGTGAAGATTTTTTCCTACGCCTGCTGCAAGTAAGCTGCCACGAGCTACCTCATTGACAACGCCAAGGAACGACAACTAATGCTGCACCTCAGCCGTCACTGCAACTCTCTCTCTCTCTACACGCTCGGACCCTTGGATAGGGGCTAACCTCGGTCAGGCACCCAAGGACCCTCGTAGGTGACCCCGAGGAGAGAGTATAGTGACTACTAAGGTTGTTAGGAGCCACTTTAGTGCGTTTAAATAGTAACAAGTGGTATCACAGCTCGAGTTACTACGTTGTTGCCGTTAGAACATCATAAAAGCGAATGGAGCAGAAGGGTCCTCAAGCCAAGAAAGTAGTGGAGGCCAAGCAGCAAGGGTTTCGGTGCCAAGGATGGCGAGAACCAGCCAGGGGTCCCTGCTAAAGGAGGTTCTGAGGAACTTCACAGTTGAGAAGTTCAACAGCACGAGATATGACGATTGGGCGTGGAAGATGCAGCTGTACTTCAGGCAAGTGGGTCTGCTCAAGATGATGATTGGAAAGGAAGAAAGACCAAGTGACCCTGCTATGCAAGAAGAATGGGACAAGAATACCTATTGTCGCAAAGTTTGGAGCTGAATCAACGCGCGCACATCATGCATCTCCTAGAGGAAGCGGGGTGTGGGCCGAAGGTGTGGACCGTGCTTGAAGACTTGCACGCGTTGACGTCGGTTGTAGCCACGCTGATGCTAGAACGAGAGATGACTTTGCTGCGGGTAAATGAAGGGGAGCCGCTGCAGCCCGTCCTAGACAAGATGCGAGGCATATGCGCAAAGTTGACGATGGCCGGCATCGTGTATACGGAGAAATCAAAATGCCTGAAGATGCTGTCGCTACTTCCTGAATCATGGCTGCAGTTCATTAGTGGGTTGAGCCTCCCACAAAATCCAGGGGCAGTGGACTGTCAAATGGGTGGGGAGCAAGATCCTAGAAGAAGATTTTCCAACGCGTCAAATGAGCGATGCGGATGACGGCAATGGTGGCTTCGGCATGCAGGGAAGCAGTTGGGAAGAACAAGCGCAACGGGTCTAAGAACATGCACGGTGAAAAGCGTTATGGCAATGTGGCCAGGCAACGAGAGTTCGACGAAGAAAATTCGGGGAGCAGACATGACAGGTTCAGCAGAAGCGGAGAAAGCACGCGCAATTATGAACAGTGGAATAGTGAAACTGCAGGACGAGGTAGCTATAGGGCAGGCTTTGGAATTTTTAGGGGAAGCTGCTGGTACTATCAGAAGCCGGGACATACTTGGGTCCAGTGTCACAAACGGTCAGAATGGTGGAACCCAGGTCACTTGAACAATGACAAAGACGAAGGCGAGAAGGACGGTGTCAACATGGTGGCGGATCGTGCAAAAGAGGCGGATTAGTATGAAAGAAGGGCAGCAGGGCAATTCTTCCATGTAGCGGCAGGAGAAACAGCACGTGCCAACAGTACACGATACGGAGGTGGTCGGCTCACATGGATTTTGGATACAAGAGCTGCTTGGTCAATGACACCGTGTGCAGAGTTGCTGGAAAGTAAGCACCCATCTCGGAAGTCAAGTCCATGTCCGCACACGCAATAAGGGTGATGGGTGCAGGAAGGGCTGGATTCTTGGGAGCTGACGGGGTAGCAGTGATGGGGTAGCAGTGATGGGGTAGCAGTGATGGGGCAGCAGTGATGGGGTAGCAGTGATGGGGTAGCAGTGATGGGGTAGCAGTGATGGGGTAGCAATGATGAGGCAGCAGTGATGGGGTAGTGGTGATGGGGTGGTGGTGATGGGGTAATGGTGATGGGCGGCCGTGTGGACGGGGAAGGAGAGGCGGAGCAGCAAGGGGAGGCGCAGTAAGGGGAGGGAGAGGGGGGGTATGGCTGCCTGTGGTTTGGGTTTGGCGGAAACGTGGGGAGGGATGGGAGAAAGGGGAGCAGGGAGAAAGGGAGTAAGGGCATGCAGACGGGTGGGGAAGGAATTGAGAGAGGGAGAGTGGGGGATTGCAATCGAGGGGCTCCAGGGGGGCGAGGCGTGCAGGGGCGAATAGAAGGGCGCGATTGGGGGAACAAGAGGGGGCGCAGAGGATGATGAGGGGGAGGGCATGAGGAAGTGCGAGTGCAGGTGAAGCGAGCAGCGTGGGAGGGCGACGATGTGTGGCAGGGGAAGGGGAGGCAAACAGCAAAGAAGAAGCGAGTGAGCCGCTTGAACGCAAGGTGTTGCAGGCAATACTGGCGGAGTTACTGGCGGAGTTGATAAAAATACCATTTCAAAATTAGCCTTGGCCGTGCCTGCCCACCCTTGCAATCATGTCCATGTGCTTTTCCACCCTCTCACCTCACCTCACCATGCCACCTGCTCACCTCACAGTCCCTTCTACTTTCTTCCCCCACCTCCGCTGCTCGCCGAGCCCTGTCAGTCTGTCACCCTTTGTTCATTTGATTCAAAAGTCTCCCCCACGTCCACTTCATGCTGACCCCTGTCATTGCCTGTGGCCCTCCTTGCAGTCACTTTGCCATCCCAGGTACGGCCAGTTCTCCGCATCCCCCCTCCGTTATCCTTGCCCGCCCCTCCTCCCCTCTCCACATGCCCCCTCCCCTGTCCTTGCCCTCCTCCCCTCCCTCAGCACCCCCCCTTCCGCTCTTAATGTCCCTCCCCTCTCCACTCCTCCCTCATGAGGGCAGGGTTCTGGCAGAAAATGACATAATGAAAGCACTCCTCATGAGTCCACGTCCTTCCTCCCCGCACCTCAGCACCCCCCGCTCTCCCCATCACCCTTCCCCGTACCCCACACCACACTCAGCAACTCCACACTCTCCCATCTCAATGGACCGGGGTGCGATGCAGCGGCAGGTGCTGACAGGAATGAAGAAGGTGGGGCAGGTAGTGCAGTGCATGGGACTCTCCCTCCTCCCCTCCGTTTTCCTCCCACGTTCTTCCTCATAACCCTTGGACAATGTACGAGAGCAGGGAGGGATTGATGAGGCGCTGCGTGGCAGGGTGGAAGGACATGGGGCAGGCGGTGTGGGGCAGGCAAGCAGATGATTCTCCCTTCTCCCCTCCCGCACCCCCCTCCCACTTAAACACCCCGTTGCACAGGGTGCGATGAGGTAGCAGTGAAGCGGCCAGGCTGAAAATGAATCTCCCTTCCCCCTTCCCATCACCCTCCCCTCTCCCCATCCCTCTTCCCCCTCCCCATCCCGCCTCCGCATCCCATGGGAGCACAAAACAATGAGGCGTTGCGTGCTGGCGGGGCTGAAGGAGGTGGGGCAGGCGGTGCAAGCTGAAAGATATTTCCCTTCTACCCTTCTTCACCCATCCCCGCATTGAAGGCTCCCCCTCCGCCCTTCCCATCCCCCGTGCGCAGCGTGCTGGCAGGGTTGAAGGAGGTGGGGCAGGCGGTGCAAGCTGAAAGATATTTCCCTTCTACCCTTCTTCACCCATCCCCGCACTGAAGGCTCCCCCTCCGCCCTTCCCATCCCTTGTGCGCAGCGTGCTGGCAGGGTTGAAGGAGGTGGGTCGGGCAGTGAGCAACGGGAGGGCCAAGTGTGTGGGTCGAGGCAGGAGAGCGTTTCAGTGGAAAAGGGGAAGCACGTGGGAGAGGAGGGCATGGGGTGGGGGTGATGATGCTAAACTGTGTTCACAATTTGCAAAACATGCTCTCCCACCCATGCGCAGCAATCACTATTTAAACCACCATATCCAACCCTTCCGTCCCCACCCCTTCCATCCCCACCCCTTCCATCCCCACCCCTTCTATCCCCACCCCTTCCATCCCCACCCCTTCCATCCTCACCCCCTCCCTGTTCCCCAAGTGGTTGCAGAAAGGGAAGGAGCCTCTGTGCGGCAGGGAGGTGGGTGAAACGGACAGCACCCTGGATCATGCCATGTGGATTGTGAGAATTTCCAAAACCACATGGATTTGGTGAATGTTCAGAATCCACTTGCGACAGCGATTGTGGACGGGGGAAGAGAAGAGAGAAGGGGGGGAGGGGAGGAGAATGAGTTGAGGGGAAGCAGATGGCCGCTTTGGACCCGACCTGATGTTGGACCTCATTTGATGTTGGACCCCACTTGATGTTGGACCTGATTTGATGTTGGACCCCGCTTGATGTTGGACCTGCGGAGATAACTAATACAGCGGGAGCTAGACTACGGCTAGGCACGGCTGTTCGTGTGATGTCTGTGTTCCTTGGTCCTTAGTCATTTTCCTAGTGCGCACACAACTTGCTAGTTCACATGGAGAATTGGCAAGAGTTTCACTAGAGAAAGTTGACAAGAATGGTACAATAAAGTTGGCAATGCAAGACTACATCAGAGCTAGCATTCGGGTCGGTCGACTACCAGCGCAGCATGGTCGACCGCGTTCCAGCAGTGCAAAGTCGACGGCGGGCCAACTTTGCAGGTTAACGGCGTGCCAGCGCTGCTCACGCAAAACAGCAGCGCACCCGCTTCGCAGGTGCTCGCAGATGATTGGCAGGCTGAGCCTCGTCACCTGCACAACGCACACACCAAGTCATCCTCGTGCTGACAACTCCACCTGATCTGCCATGTAAATCTCGGGATACCACCCCCGAGGTCGGGCTCGCCAACTTTGCCTGGGCGACCGTCGCACTCCTCCGCAGAAGTTCGTCACCCAGGTAACCTGGTCGACTTGGCAACCACGTCAACCAGCTGCTCCCGCACATGCCCGTCGACCTCCCAAGTCAACGGCCACCTCCAAGTCGACCTCACCAGGTCGACCACGCACCTGGTCGACCAGCTCCAGGTCGACGTCACTTCCGGTCGGACGGCTCCACGTCAACCAGCATTCGTGGTCGACCAGCTTCATGTCGACCAGCGCAGTTGTCGGCCGACCACCCAAGTCGGCTACCCGAAGTCGGCGTCATGAAGTTGACGCCCCGCTACTCGACGCCAAACTGTTCGGCGTCCTGAGTCGAGGTCGACGTCGGCCCCTCCGCCGTCGACCACCAGGTCAGGTCGACCACCAGCAGGTCGACCAGCGGGCCTGGTCGACCAACCACCAGGTCGACCAGTAGTCCGTCAGCCGACCACCAGAGTCAGCTTCCCCAAGTTGACGTCACCAAGTTGACGTCCTCCGCAGGTCGACTTCCCAGGTCGACCTCCCTTAAGTTGGCTTCATACTAAAGTCGACCCCGTGCAGTGGTCCCCGTGCAGGTCGACCTCCTCGTCAACCAGCTCGTCCACTGCTGCAGGTCGGCTGCTCCCCTCGCATCCGTCCACGAACTCGGCTCCGCCCAAGCGAGGACGGGGCCAACACACAACTCCCATTGACACTCCCCTGCCGCGTTCACGCTTGGGCCCCCAGCCCACATGGCAGTACTCCTCGGAGAATAGCTCGTCGACGTGCACCCAACTCACGGCACGTCGTCCACCGCACCAGCCATGCAAGACGGCATGGCACCTACTGCTGCACGTCGTCAACTTTGTCGCCAACGTCGGCCAAGCGCACTTGGCGATGGCGACGGAGCACCGGTTGAAGGCCGGATAGTGTAGCGCCTTCGTCAGGAAGTCGGCCGGCTGCTCAGCGGTTGGGATGTACCTCAGCGAGAACTTCTCGTGCTTCACCATGTGTTACAGCCAGGCTTGTCGCCGCTCCATGTGCTTGAGGTTGCCTGTCAACCCCATGCCCTCGGCGACTGTGATGGCCGACTTGTTGTCCACCCGAAGGACAGTCGGCTTCCCAGCATCCAGCTGCTGAAACTCTGCAAGGAGGAAGCAAAGGCGGCGTCCCTCCTTGCCAGACCACGTACTCCGACTCGCTCGATGACAACGTCGCGCACTTGATGCTCTGGCTCGACCACGAGACCGCAGCCCCTCCGTAGACGAACACGTAGCCGCCCGTGCTCGTCCTGTTTTGCTTGTCATCAGCGTCGTCGACGTCCATGTAGCCGACTAGCTCCAGTGACTCAGGTCCACCGCTGAACTCTAGGGCGGTGTCACGCGTGTTGTCGAGGTAGGAGAGGCAGCGGTCGACCTCGCGCCAGTGCTGGTCGCTCCTCACCGTGAGGCTGCTCCCCAGCTTGCTGCAGGCGAAGGTGATATCCGGCCACGTTGTCGTCGCCGCGAACTGCAGCGAGCCGACCTTCTGTCGGTACTCCTCCTCCTGACACTCCTGTGCCTCCTCGTTGTCGAAGGTGAGCTCGGCGTAGGCGTCGACCGAGACCGGCGTCTTCGGGGTGCGCCCGGTCTGCTCTGCGTCGATGAAGCGCCTACGCAGCTTGTCGGCTTAGCCCTGCTAGTGCAGCCACAGCTTCCCCGCCGACCTGTTGCGGACGATCTCCTGCCCAAGGTACTTCTGCACCGGCGAGATCTCACGCAGCTTGAAGGCGGACTCCAGCAGTTCCTTCAGCTCCTTCAGCATCTTTGTGCTGCTGCGGGCGGCTAGCAGGTCATCGACGTAGACCAGCACCCAGCAGGCCACTCCGTCCTTGTCGACCTTGAAGTAGAGAGCCTCGTCGACCTGGCTCTTCTTCCACCCGATGTCGACCAGCACGTCGTTGAGCACCAAGTACCACAGCATCGGCGACTGCTTCAGCCCGTACAGGCTCTTCAACAGCTTGCACACCCGGCCGGTTCCGTCGTTGAAGTAGTCCGGCTGGGACATGTAGAGCACCTGGTCGAGCTTGCTCTACATGAAGGCATTCTTCATGTTGAGCTGCATCGGGTTGAGGTTGAGGACGGCGACGATGCTGAGGAAGATCCTCAGGGTGACGTAGCTGCCCACCGGCGCGAACGTCTCATCGTAGTCGGCGCCATACACCAGGGTGAAGCCCTTCACGACCAGCCTCGCCTTCTCGCGCTCGACGGTGTCGTCGACGTGGTACTTTGACGTCAACACCCACCGGTTTTTCATGACGTTCACCCCCGGCGGGCGTTCGACTAGCTCCCAAGTGCCCATGTTGATGAGGCTGCGGATCTTCTCCTCCATGGCGGCCTTCACCGCCGGGCCCTTCCAGCTCGCCAACGCCTCCTTCACCGTCATCGTTGAGATGTCCCAACAGTGTTCGGGGTCGGCATGTATGTCGGGGTCGAGCTCCGAAAACTCCTCATCCTCCTCGGTGTCGTCGTACAGCAGGTTGTCGTCATCATCCTCCACGTCGTACACCTTGGTGAAGGCAGCAGGGACGAAGAAGTCTGGCGGCCGCCGAAGTCTCTCCGACTTTCGGGGTTCAGGCCGAACTTCCACCACGTCGCTGTCGGTGGACTTCTCCCCTTCCTCACCGACTTTGCTGCCCTCGTTATCCTACTGCACCTCGGTCGACTTCCTGGTCGACCTCTCCCCTGTGGTCGGCTCCCATGCCGGCTGCCCGGTTGCCGACTGCTCCGTGGTCGGCTTCATTGCTGCCTGCTCTCCTGTCGGCTGCTTCTCCTCAACCTGCTCCTCCCCTTTCAACGTCGGCTTCAATCCCATGTCGACTTGCCGCTCATCACGTCGGCCACCAGCGATGCCCTTGGCCGGCGCTGAAGGCGACGTCCTACTACTCCCCTCATCGCCGGAGGCCGACATAGGAGTCAGCCGGTGCAGGTCAGTAACGAGGGGAGGGGCAGGGGACGGAGGACAAGGGGAAGGAGGGTGGACGACCTCAGCATCCTCAGTAGCAAGCTCACCGACCTCGGCGAGCAGAGGCAGCGTCGCCGTCGAGGTGTTGGTCGGCGGGGTAGTAGGCGTCCGACCGGACACCGGCCCGTGCTCCGACTTCCACACCTCCAGCGACATATCCTCGTAGAACATCACGTCCGACGTGGTGACCACCCGGTTGGTGTCAATGTCGAGGAGCTCCCAGCCCTTGCTCTCCCCCGACACACCAAGGTGAAGGCCCCACCGGGCCTTCGGCTTCAGCTTCCCACCACGCTGCTGCTTGGGGAAAAGGAGCTGAGCCATGCAGCCCCACACCCGCGCCATCGACAAGTCGGGCTTGTGCCTGGTCAGCAGCTGGTACGGCGTTGTCCCTAGCGGCACCGTCGACTGCTCAAGGCAGTTGCAGACCCAGACGGCCTGCCGTAGAGCGAGGTGCCACCAGTGGTGCTGCACGCCCATGTGCAGCAACATCGTCCGCACCGACTCCACCACTGTCCTCATCTCCCGCTCCGCCATGCCGTTGTGCTGCAGGGTGTATGGGCAGGTAAGGTCGTGGACGATCCCCTTGCCATCCACGAAGTCGGTGAACTTCTTCCCGAGGAACTCCCCTCCTTGGTCGGAGCGAAGCATTAGCACCGACATCTTCGTCTGCCTCTCCACCAACACCAGCCACTTCTGGAACTCCAGGAGCACATCCGACTTCTTAATGATCGGCCTCACCCACACGAAGCGGGTCTTGCGGTCCTTCTGCAGCAGGAAGTACACGCTGCCGTACTTGGCAGCCACGCGGAACGGCCCGCTCAGATCGATGTGCACAACGGCCAGCACGTCGTCGGCATCGGAGCCTTGATCTGGGAAGGTGTGCCGCGCCAGCTTCCCGCCGACGCACAAGACACACGGTGAGTTGGCGCCCGTCGCCAACTTAAGGTCCAGCCCGATGGTGACCTCACTCTTCGCCGAGCTCCTGATGGTGTCCATACCGACGTGCGCAAGCCTCGCATGCATCCTGTCCGGCGTCAACTTTGTCTTAGAGACAATCGCTCGCAGGGCCACAACCTCCGGCGTGGGCGACGTTGGCTTCATTTAGCAGGGACGTAGGTCGGTGCAGAGGATTCGCCCGCAGTATATTGCCCGACCAAGCACCTCTCCGACTGCCGAGACGAGCAGCATTCCGTCTCTGTCCTTCTGCAGCTTCACACTGTGCTCTTTCAGTTGGCCGGACGACAGCAGGTTAGCCCGCACACTCGGGACGTACACCA